GTTCTTCTAATTAGATAAGCTTTGGCCAGAGGTTGTTCATTTTATTCACTGCAGCAGCTCTGAAGTGTGATAACCTAAAGTTAAAACATGTGTGACTAATACGATAATAGACTAAATTGAACTTCTGTTTTTTGTGGATTGTTCTAGAGTTGCATACCATGTTCAAAATTAATCAGTTTTTCAAATAAAAGAATCAAGTCTTGTCCTGTAACTGTACATAATTCATCTCTGTCATCTGTCTTGGACGCCTTTTCCAGCTAGTTGGTTCCCACAGGAATGCCCAGTTTTGTTCTCCAGCAAAGTTGGGGAATTTAACACATTTTCCAAACCAGCCACTTTTTTTTTTTTTTTCGTTGAAGTTGTTTTTTTTTCCTCTTGTAGAAACACAAACTGAAAACCTTTTATATTATCTATACACCTCCACTTTCCATTGTGTTGAATCTGCCTTGAGCTAAGCAGCATTTCTACATTACCTGGCTGTAAGTGTGAATGCAAATTAAACGGGCACATTAAACATGAGGCCTGCTTCCAAGCATAAAAAAACATCTGTGTGTTTGATTGTCTGGCAGGTAAGAGTATGAAGAATTTACGCTGAGCAAAGAGGGGTCATGTCTGTGTCTCCTTCATGCTCCACCCTTACCCCATCCCTTAACCAAACACATGATTTTAGGTAGTGAGAATGAGCCTGATACTAACAGTCCACTATTTTTCTTTATTTTTTATTTTTTTCTACATGGGAAAAATGTTTGATTATGAAAACCGCTATAAATGCTGCAAACTGAGAAAACACTAAAAGAGGACTTGGTGGTTACTTTGGCAGTTGTATATGTGGTCATTGGCCACATGTCCTTTTAGAAAGTAGCATTCAAACTTCCTGCAGTTTTTTTTTCCAAAGGAACTGTCCAGAAATGTCTGCCATGTGATGTACTGCGCTCATATTTATATAGAGCTTTTCTAGCTTTTTTTTTTTTTAAATCTTTTACGGACAAAGTTTGTCATCATTTATATTAATACAGGTGCTGGCCAGAAGAGTGCCATGTTCATCCATGCACACTCGTTTGAGGATTTAACTGCTGAAGCTGAAGAAGAAGCCCTGAGGACAGCTGATTCAGGCAGATCAGAAGAGCAGCATGAAGAGGGGCTCAAGGCACTTGTTGCTGAACAAAATATAGATGAACAACACAGCAATGACCTGTCGGATAGGACTAAGGAGGAGGATGTGTCCAGTGAGGCGTGGCGGAGCCACAAAAAACACGTGTTTGTGCTGAGTGAGGCGGGGAAACCAATCTACACTCGCTACGGCACGGAAGAGGCGCTGTCGAGCACCATGGGGGTGATGATGGCTCTCGTGTCGTTTGTCGAGGCTGAGAAGAACATCATCCGCTCCATCCATGCAGGTCAGATTATACTTTGGCAGCAACATTTAATTCTCTAAACAAATATGTCGTATCTTAATGTAAGTGCTGTTAATATGTTTGTGTCAGATGGCTGTAAAGTGGTTTTCCTCACCAAGAGTCCTCTGGTCCTGGTGGGAGTGTCACGCACCTGTCAATCAGACAAGGAGATGCTGCGGGAGCTGCAATACATCTACTACCAGATAGTCAGCCTGCTCACCCTCACCCAGCTCAACCACATCTTCCAGCACAAGCAGAACTACGACTTGCGGCGTTTGCTGGCCGGCTCAGAGTATCTCACTGACAACCTGTTGATCCGGCTGGAACGAGACCCCGGCCTGCTGCTCAGTGCCGTCACTTGCCTGCCCCTCCCCAGCTCTGCCAGGGACGTAGTGTCATCGAGCCTACAGGCCGCTAAATCCAAAAACCTGGTGTTCTCCATATTGCTGGCCGGCGATCGCCTGGTCACCCTGGTCAGGAAGAAGGACCAGTTCCTCCACCACATAGACTTGCACCTGGTCTTCAACCTCGTCGGTTCCTCCTCTTCCTTCCGAGAAGGTGAAGGCTGGACGCCGATCTGTCTGCCAAAGTTCAACACCGCAGGATTTTTCCACGCTCACATTTCTTACCTGGAGCCTGCATCCCAGCTCTGTCTCATTCTGGTCTCAACTGAAAGAGAGGACTTCTTTAACATGTCCGACTGCAAGCAGAAGTTTATGGAAAGGCTGAGCAAGCGTAGTGCCTACCAGGCCCTGAAGGAGGCGGTGAAATGTCCCAGTTACTCCGTGGTGCAGGTTGGCATCCCAGAGCTCAGGCACTTCCTGTATAAATCAAAGAGCTCTGGACTGTACACCAGGTGAGTGGTTAGACTGTGTTTGTCAAATTTAGGGGTTTTTAGATAACGATCAGAGTATTTTAACAGTCATTAATCCTGTTAATTCAAGAACTTTTTCCTTTCACTGTATAAACACATCTACTCAGATGTTTTCGGTATTACGAAAAATTTACATAAATGACAACTTCATGAGAGCAGATGACACTTGATTTTATCTGGGCCAGTAAAATGATCATCAGTATACAAAGATTAGCATTCTTATATGTATATATTTTTTGTCATGAACACAAATCCTTGTTCTTGGATATTTTCCACCTTCAGCCCCGAGTTTCCGATGGTGTACCAGTCTGATGGAGAGCAGGAAAGGCTGCTGAGCTTGTACCAGGAACTTCACAGCTGCTTGCACCATCCAACCAGACCTCTCCGTTACTACTACCGCTGCAGGGAAACTGAAAACTTGCTGGCACAGGTGAGTCTGGTGTTGTGATTAAAATGGTTTATTGTTTTTGAACAATTATTTTTAAGCTGACAGCCATTTAAAGCATTTGGTGTGTACAAAATGAATACTGGACACTGGATTGTTGACATTGTTCATACACATTTAGTTAGCTTACTGTTTTTTTGTTTTTGTTTTGTTTTTTCTTTTTTTGGGGGGGGGGTAACTATTTGCCTTATTAGGGTCAATAGTCCATTTAATAAAGTCATAAATAATTTTGATTGCTGGCATAAACTTTACATCAGTTTTTCCATTCACAATGCAGTATTATCAACAGCTGGATTAACATTTTGCAATCAAATAGGTTAACTGGCAACAGGTCAGTAACATGACTGCGTATGAAAAGAGCATCTTAGAGGGAAAAAATGTCTACAAATTCTTGGAAATTTTCAGAATAATATTCTTCAATATAAAAATGTGAAGACTTTGAGTTTCATCATCTACAGTACCTAATATGATCAAAACGCAAATCTTAGTGGGCAAAGGACAAGGCCAAAAATCAGCATTGGCTGCCGTTAACAGCAATTATTCTGTCATGGAAATCTCTGCATGGGCTCAGGAACACTTCCAGTCACTGTCTGTGATCCCAGTTCACTGTGCCATGCACAAATGCAGGTTGAAGCTCTATCATACAGTAAAAAAGCCACGTGTGAACATGATCCATAAATAATTCTTTTTGGAAAATGCTGCATCCCCCAGCCCAAAGAAGATAAAGAAGATACTGCTTATGTTTTTTAATTTCTATTTTAATTAGTGTGTTAGTGTTTTTTGGTTTTTTATTCCCACAATGAGTTTAATTATAGCTTACTGCAATAACCTTTGTCCTTCCTTACCAGCTTTGTGTTAGCAGCGTTGTGCTTTTGCAGACCCTTGCACATTACCATCACATACACATAAAATAACAATAAAAGTAATGTCCACATTGACACTTCTGGAAAGTTGTTGACCACTCTTTTTTCTCCCCCTTTCTAACCGCATGTTGTGTGGTTAAATATATATCTTAAAGAAACGTATTGAAAAAGGGTCATCATTCTAAATGTGGTGCAATGCTTTACAAATATTGTTACAAAAATATACTGTCATTACATAATTAGTTTGCAGTACAATGCAGTAGCTACAGTAATTTTGCAGACTGTAACAATTTCTTACATTGAACCACATTTCTGAACTTCTTTAACAGAAAAATATCCGTCTACTACACACAGCTTTTTCATCCTCCGTTTGTCTCGTTGTGCCTTCTCTCCTTTGCAGGTGACAAGCGGCTTTGAGCTTTACCTCTGCTTTAGTCCGCTGGCGACCAAGGCCTCAGCGTTCGCCGCTGTCAATAAACTGCTGAAGTGGATCAGGAAGGAGGAGGATCGCCTCTTCATCCTCAGTCCTCTCACATACTGAGCCTCCTGAAACGTAAAGCAGTATTGTGAAAACAGACTGGAGTGGTGCTAACAGCAGCTACGCATGATGAAGCAGTAGTCTTTAAGAGTATGATGATTGTCAAATCCTATGCATTTTCTTTTTTTTTTTGACTTTTGGAATGCTCTGTTCTAATTCTCTGATTTGTAATGAAGTGTGCTGTGCAATTGAATTAACGCTGTATTTTAGCTGGCGAAATTTTTTTATAACTTTTAATTTAAAAAAATGAAGAGCAGATAGAAGCCTCCGCACTTTTGGTAACACAGAAGCTTGCAGTGTTTACCTGTTGTTAAAGATCTTTCATGGAATGGTTTTACTGTAACGGCTATTATGCATCTCACAACTTAAAAAAATGTCTTTTATGGTATTAACTCAGTTCTTAGAAATGAAGAATAAACTGGAAATTCCTCGAACTGCAGTAGAATGTATTTTCAAATTAGAAGACATGTTGGCAAAATATGGGTTAACAGCATTCCTGTTGGAAGCATCACCCTTTTACCTCTATGCACTCTTTGTTTATGTAACGGACACTGAAACAGAAAGCCTGTGACCTGTTTACTGCTGTCAGTAGTTTGTAATAACACGTATTCTCTTAACACCACTGTAGAGGAATTCCACATGAACTCCATTATTTTTCCAGTTCATCTCTTTCTTTTCACCCATAATACTCACATTAACAGATGATATGTTTCTGCATGCCTCTTAAAGCTTTGTTTCCTAGAAACCTGCTATGCTTGAGGAATCTAGCCTTGTCACATTTGTCACATCATGCCTTAACTGTTATTGTGCAAAACAAATATGTAATGCTTTATGGCAGTCCCATAATTGCAAAATTATATGTAAATAAAGAAACGACCTGCAAGCTGATGTGTCATTCTTTTCCCCTCACACTGTAGGCACTTCGTAGATGGCAGTAGCAGCAGCACTTCCGTCTCACAAACGCGGAGCACACTTGCACAACAAAAGGAGTAAGTTTTATGGTGCTGTGAAACAGGCAGGGCAGTGGTTGGGGGGATAAGGAGGAAACGTTTATGGCATTAAAAAGTGACTGAGGCCACCTATAGACGCTGGGCTAATTGGCTTCTGTTCGTGCTGCTGGTGTGTGTCAGTGTGGAGCTGTGAGGGGAGGAGCGAGGACCGATTCAAACCGGGAGTTAAAGTTAAATACGAAGCGGGCGCTAACGAATACAGAAGGGCTTGTATTTAAAAAAAAAAAAAAGTTTGTGTGTTAAGCTAATCGTGTGATATTAACTCTACCTGAGGAAAAACCCGCCTTCCCCCGCGCGCTGTTTTACAGTAGGCGCAGAGCTGGCAGTGGCTGCTTCCCTCAAGACTGTGACTGACCTGCACAGGTAAGCTTTTCATCTTTCCTTCTTTCCTTCAGCAGCGTCTGCTCTGATGTTTAGATACAAAACAGAAACCAACTAGCCTTCAGAGCACAGGCAATGCTAGAAGAGGACTTTAAAAAGAATAGCTTGTGTTTATGATCCAAAGTTTGACTTACAGCACCGGCATTCTTTATATTATCTCTCACAGCACTTATGATGCAAGGAAGGGTTTCCGGTGTCATCCATTTATAATTGTTTATAAAAAGCAAGCTATTTGCGATTAATATTTATTGTGGGGGTTGTGAAATATAAACTCAGTGTTGCGTTATCTAAACTCGGGTTTTGGAATGAAAATAACATCTTTAACCTGTGGACTGGAGCCAGTGTGCACTCTGTTACACTGGAGTGATTCAAAGAAGTAAAGGCAGATTGTAACCGAATATGGAGACAAAGTAAAAGGAGAAACTTCACCAACCCAACAACAACAACAAACCCATAAATACAAGCGATCAACTGAAGAGGGCAGATGAGCACAGGGCGAAAAGAAATTATGCTGTTCTGTGTTAACATACTCATAATTGGACTGATTTCTAATCTCACTTGTTTTGTATAAAATCACACAGTAGAAATAAAGATTTTTTCAAAACAAAGAAATGCAGACGCAGTTTCTCCTTAAACTGGATATTTCTAGTGAGTCTGCATTGCCTTGGAATTTATTTCCTTCTACTCAGTCAATGAGTCCTTCAGGTTCAATATGTGTTCACTATTGATTGTTCGAACAGCAGCTCAACTCTGCAAATCCCCCTGGATATCTGTGCATTGATTATTCTAAGAGAGGTCTTCGATCTTCTACTCTTGATTAGGATGCCGAAGTGCCAGTGAGCAAGGTGCTTTACTGGCAACTCATGCCGGTTCACTGATGAAGCCTTGATTGGCCTGAAAATAGCAAAGCGAATGGAAACTCTGTTTCAGCCGTTTGCTTTATTAACCATGAACCCGGAGAAAGTCAATCAGTGCCATTACTATGTGTACTCATGTCCCCAGACCTTAACCTCAGCTTTACAAGGAGCTGCAAATGTTAAAATGTAACAACAGCATCAGCGGGGTTCAATGAATTATTGATGCAAAGACCTGGGACTCTGAACTTTTCCATACGACTGCTTTTAGCAAAAACAAGTGCTTTGTGCTTAAAATCAGTTGGCTCACACTGCCGTTTCTGACGCTGTTAAATATAATGTTCAAAATGGATTAAATTCTCTGACACGAGCCGAAGAGCAGTTTTGCCCTCACCTGGTAGTTTTAAAGGCTACACAACGTCTGACGACCATCAGTCCGTGGCCATCTTTTCCCCCTGAAAGGCACGTAGTGGTTGTAACAGGAATGCATAATTGAGAGGCCAGGCCAGAAAACAGTCATGGCGTATGCCCAGTTAATGATCCACCCACTTATGTATGTTCACGATGAAGACAGGGCTCGGACACTACGTAGAGCTTGGGCTGGATGAGCAATGGAAAAATGTAGATTTGCTAAATTTGGTTGGTTCATGTTGAGCAAAAGTCATTATCTTGGCTTGTTACCACCAACTCCCTTGCATAAAAGAAGATGATTCATTTGAAAAACTCTGCCTGTGATTAACCAGAGTAAACATGACCAGACCGATATGAATGGCTTATGTACAAAGCCCCAGTAAAAATAGTTAGATCCACATCTTCTACCACCACAACTCTGTGTCTGATGATCTAAACATTTCCTGTCAGTGTCTGTGGTGAGTCAGAGAAAGCTTTTATTTTTATGACCACATGTGCTTTTATTATCAGGACCAGACAAGATGGTGATCATGATTGTTACCTCGGGTCTTTTAGGGTTCCACGCAAAACATAATAAAATACTGTTATATTGATTTTCACTTTCATTAGTAGCAAATCCCATAGGAGGCATAATTTATCATGACAACATGAAACAACAGGCTACTGCTTATCATTTTATGGTCTTACAGCAGTTTTAGTAAACAGGTTTCAGACACATCTCACTTCTGTCAGCTTTTACCTCTTCATACAAACGGGATTGTGGCTCTTTGTTTGTTCATAAGGTGGTTCTTTAAACAAAATCCATTCCTGCCAAAGGAACCTTAGATAAGAAATAGGCGATATGCATTTAAAAGCCTTGAATGAAGGTAATGTAAGTACTGCTAGTTATATGCTCACTTGATTTCTTGGCCTGAGCTAGGTGAGAAGATCTCTCTAATACTTATACATGTCCGTTCAGTATAATGTTGGTTCTAGAGGACATTTAGCTTAAAGCAGGAGAAAGCAGTCAAGTCAGCCAAGATCCCCTTTTCTCTTTCACATCTTTATGCAAAGCTTTCCTGGATCATCTAGCTCATTAAAATGGCATCTTTTTTATTTAACTCTCAAGCAAGGAAATATCAAAGCTTTAGTCATTCTTGAGTTGCAGCTCATGATTTCTTATCAGTTTAATGAGTTATTTTACTCTTTTTGTTTTATCAGGTGTCACTGGGTGGTTTAAGGATGGTTTTGACTCAGCAGCAGACCTGGAGGTAGCGACACATCGCCTGTGCCTTTGGGCCCCTGGAACCCGGACTGGAGATGGTCCACTGGGCCGGACAGTGGTGGGCATGCGTCTGGTTCCAGACTGTGCTGGCCTTTGCCCTGGCCAACTGTGCGTCATTGGCCCCCAGCCCTGTCAACTTCTCTGTTGTGTATACAATGCCTTTCTTCCAAGCTGGGGGTCCCATCCAAAACATAGTCAACAACTCATTTTACCAAGAAGTGTACGTGGCCTCTAAGAATGTGATCGAAGCTGTCAACAGAAGCCTGGAGAAGGTGTGGGAGCTCCGCACTGGGCCAGTGGGGGGCTCAGAGTGTCACATATGCAATTTGTGTGAGATTGACAAGAATCACAACTTTCCAGAGGACACAGACAATCAGGTGTTGCTGTTGGATACACTCTTTATGTATTTATATTCTTGTGGAAGTTCTCAGTACGGCGTATGCTATTTCCACCAGCTGAACCCAAATGGAGAGCCACCCTCTCTTTCAAAGTGTTTGTTCAGAAAGGGCTCAAACTCTGCTGCTAACTGTCCTGACTGTGTGGCTAGCCCTCTTGGTACAAAAGTCACAATGGTGGAGGAGGGTCAGACTGTCTATTTCTTTGTCGCGGCCAGTGTTAATGACAGTGTCACTCAGCGTTACGGCAGGAAGTCTTTATCAGTTCGTCGACCACTGGCCACAGAAGATGGTTTCTTCAGTGATGTGCGTGGTCTGACTGTCCTTCCCAGCCTGCGAAAGACATACCATATTGAATATGTCTACAGCTTCTTCACTCAGGAGTTTGTGTACTTCCTTTCAGTCCAGAGAGAGAGCCCAGATCAGGAATCGTCGCCTTTTCAGACTCGTCTGGGACGTCTCCCGAGGAACGAATGGGAAATGAAGCGGTATCGCGAGTTGATCTTGGAGTGTCGCTTTGAACCAAAGCGAAGGAGGAGGAACGTAGCCAGTGAACCTTATAAGGATATTGTGTACAACGTGGTCCAAGCAGCCCATTTTGGCAAAGCAGGCAGGGAGCTGGCAGAGGAGTTAGGAGCGGAGGAGGAGGATGACATCCTGTATGGTGTTTTTGCTGTCACCGACGACAACGGAGTCACAGAGCATGACTCTGCCCTGTGCGCCTTCCCCATGGACAATGTGAACAAGGCAATTGCTGATGGGGTGGATGACTGCTGTGAGTCTGGACCTGAGCAGCTCTCTAGAGGGCTCTGCCATTTCCAACCCTGTGAGAGCTGTCCACATGAGGTGAGCGCATCAGTCTGCAAATACACAAAACTATGAAAATGCTACTTCTTCTTCTAAATGCTACAGTTGCTTGGTCTGAGCTGGCAAAAAGGAAAGTATGTCGCGATAAGATGAGCAGAAAATTATCTGAACTTGGATAATTTATGGACTAACAAAGGTGGCTCGATAAAACTCTTGCACAATATGTCTCTCATCTTCATCCAGCCTTGGTGCTGAAAATGAATCCATCACAGGAAGCCAAAAACTGTTTGTCTTGTAGTGGCAGGCTCCAAAAGTGAATCAATCCCTAAAAGACTCCCATGTTAAACCCTAAATTAAAAAGCCCCTTTACAGCCTGGTACCAAAAATGGTTTTGGCCAGAACTGATAGTTCCTCCTTCCATCTTTTCTATGAATATTTAACTTGAAGATGTCATGAAGATGTCTTTGAATCATTGTGGTTTAGTGACAAATAAAACTTAGATAAATACACACTTATACCACATCTGTAAACAATGAGATTTCTGACAAAACCTTCACTAGGTTTACAAGAAAATGTTGATCAGACACAACCACACAGTGTTGTCACCAAAGCGTCACTGACGAGGCAAATCTCCCTGGGTTTCTGGCTAGGTCACACGCATCTTATATGGAGCAGGGATTTTCCACTCAAAGGCGAGAGGTTTGCTGGATGAAGATTTGGGGTTTATTTGCAGCTTTTACATCAGACACTCGTCAATGGAGCACATTTTTTGAGATGGTTTTGAGAGATATTTAGAGACAGTGCAGTTAGGAAAACAAACACTGGAAATTTCAGAACATCTGGTTGTTCTTGAATGCATCATTGCTTGGCTGTTTTGTGCACAGCTGGGATTCTCGGCATATTTGGCCAGCTTTTCCTACGTCTGGCTACTTCTGACTTCATTACACACAGTACAAAACCAATGGGAGAGGTCTGGGTGGTATGACCATCTTTTATATACAGTCTATTGTATTCACCCTTTTTGTATGAATTTTTATGGTCATTCAGTTGAATCTATTTTCCTCTTTAGCCAGAAATGATCCTTTATTCATCATGTATCACCTCCTCTAGATGAGACACCAATGAAAAGGAAAATTTTGTGGTTTCTGTGAAGCAATATTAAGGTTTCCATTTCAGTCATATTAGGAATGTGAGAAGCTTTTGCATCGGCAGTCAGTTGGCAGCCACTGTTAAGTCAGAGAAAACAGGGATGCAGAAAGCTTTTTGGATCGCTAATAAATATGGAAAAAGTCTTACTACACTCATCATTATCCAGAAGGACCTGGATGGCAGCCAAGTGGGAGTGAGGGTCAGTTTTTTTTTCTATAGGCTGAATGCTCTCAAGAAGGGACTGGAAAGGTTTGCCCCGTTCCCTTTTTGTGTGACTTTAGTCAGTGGCCTTTTCAGGCGATGCGTGTGCATTAGGATGTCTGATTTTAAAGGTCTTAGAATATGTTGCTGCTGGTTTCTCGTGGGAAAACGCCTGTTTATTCCCAGATCCCATGCATATTTCTCATATTTTTTTGTGTTAAATTATTCAGTTTTGTCTTTTGGGTAGTGGGAGCTGTGGTAAGACATCTGATACCACAGTTACTTTAAGTAAATTCCAGTTTGAGAAACTATGAGTATTCCCACAAGGACTGGTTGCTATTACTGTAATGTTGCTGTGATATTGTAAAGCTGTATAATTAGTATGATTTCAGCTGCTGGGTATCCCAGATGATGGCACTTCAGGAGAAAGTGATTTCATAAAGTTTGGCAGAACTCCAGGTATGTTGCCCCTTCCTCTGCCTTTGGAGGAACACTTTTTGGTTGGACTAATGAAGTGTTCTTGTAATGGATCTTCTGTTGTTGCTTTTGGCTGCTGGTCTGAATATTGAGTAACGTGACAGCGGGACTGTCCAATAGACTGAAACCTTGGTTCTTCCACTTCACAGCAGACCAATATATGCCAAAACTGCTGCCAAAACATCAGCTGTGTTTAATACAGTGGCTTGCAAAAGTATTCTGCCCCCGTGACCTTTTCCACATTTTGTCACATTACAGCCACAAACATGAATCAATGTTATTGGAATTCCAGGTGAAAGACCAGTACAAAGTGGTGTACACGTGAGAAGTGGAACGAAAATCATACACGATTCCAGACATTTTTTACAAATAAATAACTGCAAAGTGGGGTGTGCGTAATTATTCAGCCCCCTGAGTCAATACTTTGTAGAACCACCTTTTGCTGCAATTACAGCTGCCAGTCTTTTAGGGTTTGTCTCTACCAGCTTTGCACATCTAGAGACATAAAGCCTTGCCCATTCTTCTTTGCAAAACAGCTCCAGCTCAGTCAGATTAGATGGACAGCGTTTGTGAACAGCAGTTTTTAGATCTTGCCACAGATTCTCGATTGGATTTAGATCTGGACTTTGACTGGGCCATTCTAACACATGGATATGTTTTGTTTTAAACCATTCCATTGCTGCCCTGGCTTTATGTTTAGGGTCGTTGTCCTGCTGGAAGGTGAACCTCCGCCCCAGTCTCAAGTCTTTTGCAGACTCCAAGAGGTTTTCTTCCAAGATTGCCCTGTATTTGGCTCCATCCATCTTCCCATCAACTCTGACCAGCTTCCCTGTCCCTGGTGAAGAGAAGCACCCCCAGAGCCTGATGCTGCCACCACCATATTTGACAGTGGGGATGGTGTGTTCAGAGTGATGTGCTCTGTTAGTTTTCCGCCACACATAGCGTTTTGCATTTTGTCCAAAAAGTTCCATTTTGGTCTCATCTGACCAGAGCACCTTCTTCCACATGTTTGCTGTGCCCCCCACATGGCTTGTGGCAAACTGCAAATGGGACTTCTTATGGTTTTCTGTTAACAATGGCTTTCTTCTTGCCATTCTTCTATAAAGGCCAACTTTGTGCAGTGCACAACTAATAGTTGTCCTATGGACAGATTCCCCCACCTGAGCTGTAGATCTCTGCAGCTTGTCCAGAGTCACCATGGGCCTCTTGGCTGCATTTCTGATCAGTGCTCTCCTTGTTCGGCCTGTGAGTCTAGATGGACGGCCTTGTCTTGGTAGGTTTACAGTTGTGCCATATTCCTTCCATTTCTGAATAATCATTTGAACAGTGCTCCGTGGGATGTTCAAGGCTTGGGAAATCTTTTTGTAGCCTAAGCCTGCTTTAAATTTCTCAATAACTTTATCCCTGACCTGTCTGGTGTGTTCTTTGGACTTCATGGTGTTGTTGCTCCCAATATTCGCTTAGACAACCTCTGAGGCCGTCACAGACCAGCTGTATTTGTACTGACATTAGATTACACACAGGTGCACTCTATCTAGTCATTAGCACTCATCAGGCAGTCTATGGGCAACTGACTGCAGTCAGACCAAAGGGGGCTGAATAATTACGCACTCGCCACTTTGCAGTTATTTATTTGTAGAAAATGTTTGGAATCATGTATGATTTTCGTTCCACTTCTCACGTGTGCACCACTTTGTGTTGGTCTTTCACGTGGAATTCCAATAACATTGATTCATGTTTGTGGCTGTAATGTGACAAAATGGGGAAAGTTCAAGGGGGCCGAATACTTTTGCAAGCCACTGTACATACCACGCTTTTTGGCTTGTTACTATGTCACTGAATTATTAAGCTATTTCTGTGATGACAAATGCACTATTGTTTTAGACTTAAAATGTTTGATAATATTCTGGCTTACAGTTTTTATTTTTACAGCTTTTCAGTTTAATTAGTTTTATATTTGTATTTATGATTTGTATTTAGAGTAGCTGTAACAGAGAGTTAGGCTTTAGGAAAGCAATTCATACCCACTGTTTTATACTCCTCTGGGATTAGGAGGTGGATGACTTCAGGCAATAGCAGTGCTGTTTTTGTTTTTTTCTTAAGCTCTAAGGTTACATACAGTCCATATATTTTTAGACACTGACTCAATTTTAGTTTATCTGTATATCACAACATAATTGAGATATAGTTATATGATTAATATGGTCTGATCTAAGCAGCTGAACAAGTATATCGGATTAACCACATAGAAATTACTGCCATTCTTTGCACTGGTACTTATTAGCATGGTCTCAAATGTAACTGGATGGGTTCACTTAAGGGTGGGATTTGAATGTGAACAAATTTAATCTTCAAGGTAAAGACATTTCACTTGTTTCATCAAGTGAAACAAGTCATTTTTAGGATTCAAAAACAAACCAAATCTGTCAGAGAGATAGCAGGAATGAAAACTGTGGCACATTTGGTGAAAAAAATAACACATAAAAAGGACCTTACCGAAGACAGAAGGTTTACCGAAAACATTAGAGGTGGATCGCTGCAGGATCCTTTCCAAGGTAAAGAAAAACCTGTTCACAATATTCAAGTTAGGACAACTCCAGGAGGTAAGCATGTCATTATCAGAGGTTCACCACAGGGTTTAAACCAGTGATCTGTCTCAGAGTGGCCAGATCAGACTTTAACACGTACCTAAAACAGCACGTATCTCCTGGAAAAGCAGGTTTTGGACAGATGAAACTTGGATCAACGTATATCAGTGATGAGAAAAAACAAAACAGAGGAAATGTGACACAATAACATATATGGCCTCCAGTGGCACTAGGCCACTAATGTCAGGCTTCAGTTAACTGGAGGAGACTTCACACTACGATTGGACATTGACTAGAAAAATATGGCAAATTCAAGCCTGTCTGTAAACACGACAGCTTGAAAGGTTTTAAATAAATTCCATTAAAGCTTTGCAGGGGTGCAGAGTGGGCTCATGTTAACAATCCATAAAAATGTCCCTACATTCACTAAGCTCTTCAAGGTCAACTCAATGACTTACTGACATTCTTACTGACATTGTTTGTATTGACGACATATAGGCAGTGATGTATAGGGATTCTAAATATCACATTATTTTATTATGAATGTTATGTAAATTATAATAACAGGTCATAATATTCCAGAATTGGTATTTTTTCTTTTGAAAACACTTATGATCAAAACATTTTTTTCACTTGATATTTATTGCAAAACATTAAAATTGTAACACAGGCGAAAATGGACTCAGGCGCAGACCAGCTGAACTAGAATAGCAGTCGTAAATTTATTTACAAAACACCACGTGAAAGTATAGACAGTGTACAGGGCAGGGATATGCAGCGGTCCAGGGGGAAAAGGGGAGAAAGTTCAAAACACGCTCCGCTCATTCGCTCCTTCCCAGTTTGTCTTCGGCACTCTTCTGAATCCAGCACACTCCGCTCACTCGCTCCTCTCGTATTTGTTTTCTACACACTCACTCTTACTCCATTCTACGCCACACCACCAGGGAAACAGATCGGGGGTACGGACAAGTCCGAGAACCTAAGCACAAGAGAACTGCGGTTAGCATAATCCCTGTAGTCACACGAGAAACAGGGTTTATCGGGGCTGTACTGACGAGAGTAACTCAACAAAGACACAGAGACCGTGACAAAAATGTATTTTACTAAAAACAAAATGCATGCCACATGTGCTCTACACCCAAAAAGTGTCATTAAAATTAAGTCAAGTATATTAAAATGGGTTTTAACAGGACCAACTTTGCACTTGTTTTTACTGCACTACAAACTTGGCCAGGTCTCCCTTGAAAAAGAGGTTTTTAATCTTAATTCGATCTTCCTGGTTAAATAAAGGTTAAATAAAAAATACAAATAAAAAAAACTTTTTAAAGTATATTTAAAAAGAACAAAGAAAACAAAATGAATATTCACAAAAGGCAATACTATTCCATTACAAGTAAATGCTGCTCAGTGAGCTGCCTTGGTGGAGGTTTGTGTTCTCATAGTGCTTCTTGTTCCTTGGTAGAATACTCCCTTAAATCAAACAGTGATGCTCCCTGCTCTGTATCTACAGCTCCAGGGCAATCCTCCTGTCAGTAATGCAAGGCATAAACATCTATCAAAGGCCTTTAGATTATTAAATAATCATATTATCACAACCGATTCACCTCGGGCTTCTGGTGTGCCAGATACTTTGTTTCTCTTTGTCACCCCGGTGACGAGCTCAACTTATCTCACAAGAAAGCAGCTCAGTCTGTCGAACCACAACTGTACATTTTCCAGAGATCAAATATTACAATCTAATAATATGGAACTGCTCAAGGCATGTAAAACAAACTCTATGCTCCCATGCGGTCGAACAGCTAATAAATCTTCCTTAACATACTATAATGGCTGTGTTCTTGTTTACATCAAAAAGCTTTTATATGTGATTGATGGTGTAGATTTGATTACATTTCCCATTAAACAGTGACTTTAACAGATTTTTCCAAATGCAAGCCCCCCTTAATAGTTTATTCTCTAGGACCAACTTTCATCACACAGCATACAGCAGATCAGACATTCTCAGACTCTGCTCAGTTGTCATAAAGAATCAGAATAGAAATACTTTATTAATCCCAGAGGAAGTTATGTGGTCAAAGTTGCCCCAAGACAGTAAGAACAGTAACGAACAAGTTAAAGTACCCCTCTTATCATACTGACTTTGTTATTTCTCTATAGAGGATGTGCAGATATTAAGGGTATACAATTACTGCAGTGTGCACTTGTGTTTTTAGATCAAGGAATTGTACAGAGAGATGGATTTGTTTCATGCTGCCTTTAAAGTTAAACATATCCCTGCAAATACAGTAATTTGAGTTAGAAAATATACCTCAGGGTATAGTCAAAGGAGCTTGCAAAGAAAAGCGTCTGGACTTCTTTAAGTTACTTGAAGACGTTTCACCTCTCATCCGAGAAGCTTCTTCAGTTCTAAGGTCAAATGGTGGAGAGTCCCAGATATAAACTTAGTGGGAGTAACCCCCCACAGAGGGACAAAGGACCCCCTGATGATCCTCTAATCCCCTGAGCCAAGGTGTGAAACTGGGTGTGGGTCCCAATCAGCCAGAGTTTCGGGTGTGTTCATTGTGAAACCTGCCCCCACCTTATCATGCGAATTCCTGAGGTCAGATGGCCCAGGATGTGAGTGGGCGTTAAGGCGTCTGGGAAGGGATCTCAAAACTGGATTATAGATGGC